GCGGTGTTTTTTTCGATAGGAACGGTGATCTCCACCTATTTGGACGATTCCAAAACAGCTCTCATCGTTGCTTTTACCGTCTGGGTATTCGCTGTGTTGATCGCACCACGGGCTGGGTTTGTTACCGCTAAACTCATGGCACCCACTCGAACAGTACAGAGCGTCTATATGGAAAAGACAGCAGTTCGTAACAATCTCAATGTAGAGAAGGATGAAAAAATTACAAAAAAAATTTTTGAAACCACGGGAGGTCGTATTAAGATAGGATTGGGGGGCGAGGATAATTTGCAGAAACTCCGCGAACCTATTGAAATGGAATATCGGCTGAAATTCGAGAATCAAGCGAACAAGATTGACAGAGCGTATCAACGTGAAAAGATGAGGCAAGAATCCCTGGGCGAGACGCTTTCGCGAATCACCCCGACATCTTCTTTAACCTTTCTCGCAATGAACTTAACACAGACAGGGAAGCTAAAAAGGGATACCTACTTCCAAACCGGTGAATCCTACTATGCCCAACTCGATACAGATTATTTCAGGCACGTTTCAGATGATCCCTTTGCACAAATAGCACGAGTGGCAGCTCGTATGAATACATCTAAGTCAAGTGACGAAAAAATCGCGCCTCCGCCGAACTTGGTCGAAACTTCCTTAGGTGAAACATTGCGCCAGTCTACAGTGGACGTTTTGCTGCTCTGCTTCTTTGCGGTGGTGCTGACAACCGTGGCGTTTCTGAAATTCTTCCGTACGGATATTTGAACGAAAAACGTCAGAGTTTGGAAATTGTGAGTGGATTCAAGTGCTTCCAAACGCTATCTATTGTAACGTGAGTTCGACTTATGGCGAATTATCAACGTAAAAGGAGATTTCAGGATAAATAGACATAGCACTCCGCTGGAGTGCCATCCGTCGCCAATCACTGTTCTATAGACATGTTGCTCCGCTGGAGCAAGGAGACCACTTTTTCAACCTCACAACTTCGAGCACCTTGACGTGGTGTGATTATACGCCCGATTATGTTCTTCGTCCTCACACCAGAGGCGTGATATTGCTTCGCAGTGAGAATAGAAACAGGTTGTAGATGTCTCGCAAGCCGAAGAAAGTGCTATGTATCTAAAGCGTTCCTAAGAGCACAACTCACGTTTGTACAAGGCAAAACGGGGTGAACCGGAAGATATAATGCCATTTAGCCAAACAGACGTGGAATCCAACACTTTATTTATCGTCAGTGGGTAGGTTCGTCTGAATTGTTGGATTTCGTCCTGTCTACACGAGCGTTCACTGGAAAAGCAGGACCCGTGTTGACGTTGATATAAGGCCATTCAATTTTCCGTTTTTTAGTCAGATTTTGGGGAGCCAGGCCCGGTAGGAGCGGTTTGATGAAGTTTCAATAAATAATTCGGTAATTCGGGGTTACAAACCCCTCCCACATTACCGATTTAAATTCTTAATCTTCATTAACCGCTCCGGATATTGAAAAAGGACGTTCAAACTCCGAATAATCCGATAAATTTCTTAAAACTGAATGACCCTGACGTTGATAGAAGTGGAGTTTACCATGTTACAGGAAATGTTCAAAACTACTAAAGCTATTCATTATCATGGAGAATCCTGATGGAAAAAGATGATGTTCAACTGATTCGCAGCATTTTGTCGGGTGACGACGCGGCATTCAGCATCTTGGTTCAGAAATACCAAAAAAGTGTTCATGCCTTGGTGTGGCGGAAGATTGGCGATTTTCACTATGCTGAAGAAATGTACGCAAGACACCTTCCTCCGAGCATACACGAAACTCTCGACGCTCAAGATCACAACCAGTTTGCCGGGTGGCTCTATGTCATTGCAAATCGACTTTGCATTAATTGGATGCGAAAGAAAAAGCCGGCGTTGCAATCGCGTGGAGGGCACACGTGCGGAGGACAGTCGCACGATCATCCTATAGCCATTATGTAGCGGGGGAACGCGAGACAGAAGCCGCTGAACGTCGCAGTGAAATCGTCGAAAAACTTCTCATCAGGTGCCAGAGAGCGAACGCACGGTCGTTACACTCTACTATCTCGGCGAAATGACAGCGAAGGAAATCGGTAAATTCCTGGGTGTGTCTGTGAAAACGGTTCATAGTCGGCTGCATCGGGCACGGAAACGTTTACAAGACACAGAAGAACTCTTGGTTCAAGAGGTACTTGGGGGTGTCCAATTGCCTACTCACTTAATCGAGAACGTCATGCGGCAAGTCGCTGACCTGAAACCGACACCACCTCCCGTTGGGAAACCATTGCTCCCGTGGGCGGCTTTTGGTGTAGCTGCCGCTTTAGCACTGTTACTGTTCGGTATGAGTAACCAATACCTCATCCATTTCCAGAAGCCTTACAGCTTTGAGGCTCAATCTGAACCCACGATTGAAATCGTTGACACGCCTGTTGTGCTCAATGTCGATTCAAAACCCACTGTGCGAAATCAGGTCGGGCGTACCACTACCTCCGGCAAAAGCAATAGTACGGGTCAGCAGATGGACGCGCCAGTTTTAACATCCAATACACAGACGGATTCCGCTAAGTTCGATGATTCGCAGTGGGCACAAACAAATGGACCACACGGAGGGACCGTATTGGACATCTTCGTTACATCTGAAAGGGTCCTTTACGCTGCTGCGCGAACAGATATCTACAGATTGGCGGCGGACGCAACTACATGGACGCGCATCAACACGAATATACCAATGGGAAGTTACCGGATGCCGATGGCAGAACATGCCGACACCCTCTATATTGTTTCCACCGATAAAATATTTGCTTCAATTGACAATGGCGAGACATGGCATGTATTCTGCTCCCGACCAAAAGGGCATGCCGTTGGACTTATCATAACAAATGAGGTACCCGGGCATACTTCACATCCACGTCCTGTAATGTATCTTGCCCTTCAATCTAAAGGCATTTTCCGATCTACAGATGCTGGTGCCCAGTGGAATCTTTTGGAAAAATGGACTCGCAGACGAAAACGTTTACGCAGTAGCTGCGGTTGAAAACACGGTATTTGCTGGCACAGATAGCGGTCTCTACCGCCCCAATTCAGATGCGTGGGAGCGATTAACGGTTCATCCGTCCCAACAAGCTATCCTGTCTTTAGCCGTTTTTGAAAACAACCTCTATGTTGAAACGGGACCTGAGCCATTAAGATGGACATCTCTCGAATCAAGCGCAAATTATACAGTACAGATAAACACCGTGGACAGTCCAAGTTTAGAGAGGGTTTTCCACTCGATTGACTTGGGAGCATCGTGGACTGAGATAACGTACGGAAATGAATCTCCCTTTAGGAGCACAGCACTTGGTATGGTATTTCTGATGAATACTGGCGAAACGTTCCTACCGCAGGGGGTTGTAGCGGCTGACAAAAATACTTTTTACAGGGGCAGTTTATTTGGCATTCATCGCACAACCGATGGTGGTGAATCTTGGCACCCATTTATGAATGGGATCATGGGAACGACAATATCGGATCTCGTCGCAATCAACAATAGACTTTATGCACATACCGATAGGGGACTTGTTCAGTCAGTTGACGGTGGTGAAGTGTGGGAAACCGTTGGGATTGATTCCGGTAAACATACGCTTGAAGGGATAGAAGAAGAGTTTTCACCACTTCATTTCTCTCTCGCTTCACAGTTAGAAACTGCTGGAGACGTTCTTTATGGAATTGCTCCGGGAAAAGACAACCTACGCCTTTTTCAATTATCTGCGGGTGACAACACATTTGCCCCGGTTCAAAGGGCACCCACTTTTGAACTGGCACCCTCGCCTATTGAGTTGGAGGATTGGATAGAAGAAGTCAAACTGGAGATTTTGTCTGATCATCGTGAAGAAAACGGAAACTTGCCAGCAACATCGTCCTTAATTATAAACTATAGCGGAATTGGCGGGTTCGCAGTCAGCGGACAGACGTTCTACGCGGAATGGAAGCACCGACTTTTCAAGTGGAAACCCGGCGACTCGGAATGGACAGACACCGGTTTAATAGATACCAATAGATCGCTTAATGACGGATTTGATAGAAGCTTCAAGTTAGCGGTTTCAGGAGAAACCGTCTACGTAGGCAAGCGGGACGGCAAGTTGTTTCAATCACTTGATGAGGGAAACAGTTGGAAAGACGTCACACCGATCCTTCCGCTTCACTTTACCGGTTTCAAAGAGATAGTCTTTGTGCAGTCAACGGTTTACGTCGCAACGGACGAAGGCGTTTTGGCTTCACAAAATGGCGAACACTGGCGCGTGCTCACCGATGAAATGGGTACCCGTCCCGTCATAGATAGATTCGCGGTCCATCATACCAATGTTTATGGTGCCGGTGATGCGGGGGTCTATCGTTTAGATGACCGTGGAAGATGGCATCAGATTGCTCCAAGTGTTCCAGATGAAGTTGGCTCCCTTGTCGTCAGTAACGACAAACTTTACATCGCTACCCATCATGGCAGGCTGTTTCACATTCCCCTTGAAGAACTACGGTAGGTGCGGTTCCCGAATTCCCCCTGATAAGTGGGGTTAGGGGGTTCCCACTGCCCACTGCCGCCCGCCCTTCTTGTAGGAGCGAGTGTTTTTGCTTGGGTGTTTCCCCATGCTCGCGATCCCTTTTCCATATTTACAGAGATGTCACCCCTTCGGGGTTCAAGATAATCACCGAGGCATATCTCTACACAGATGTCGCCCCTCCGGGGCTATCTTTAGTGGAGACATTTTTTCTATACACCTATCGCCCCGCTGGGGAAACCAAAAACCTCACGACACAAAGAAACGCCAGTCCGCGTAATCCGCGTAATCCGTGTAATCCGCGATTCAGACGATAGCCACGCCACCGACAACCGATAACCGAAAACTGAATACCCTTCATCAGATTCCGTTTTTTCTGCAAAAAATGTGTGGATTGTGGTAGAATAGAGATAAATTGTGAGCCTTGAAACAGCGAGGTATGCGGTTTGAAATCGCACCCCAAACACAGAAGTTATGAAAATCACTGACGTTAAAACTTACAACTTACGCTATCCACTCGTTGAACCCTTCGCGAATTCACGCGGTTGGACGAACGCGCGAACTGCCGTCGTCGTCGAAATTCGCACAGATGCCGGCATTACCGGTTGGGGTGAAGGCGTAAGCGTTCCGTCCGCCTCAGCTGTTGAAGCGCACCTGATTGGACAATCGCCTTTTGAAACGGAACGGATTTGGGAGGCGATGCGTGGCGATATCGGTGCGCTAAGCGGGATCGATATCGCACTCTGGGACATCATGGGCAAAGCATTGGACATGCCGATCTATCAACTCCTCGGCGGCGCGTTCCAATTGAAGATTCCGGCTTACGCGAGTGGGCTTTTCAAGAAAGACAAACCCGACATAACCCAAGCGTTGATGGACGAAGCGAAAGGCTACGTCGAGGCAGGGTTTCCCGCCGTCAAGATGAAAATCGGTTTCGGTGAGGCTTATGATGTAGAGAACGTCGCCGCGGTTCGACGCGCCATCGGGGACGATACCCTCTTCGCCGTTGACGCAAATTGTGGCTACGATGTCGGGACCGCGATTGATGTCGGACAGAAACTTCTGGACTACGACCTCTTCTGGTATGAGGAACCGATTACGAGTGACGATGTGGCAGGCTATCGGGAGATCCGACACGCACTGAAGGTTAGAATCGCTGGTGGTGAGATGCTAAAAGGACGTTGGGCGTTCCGGGACCTACTGCAGGAACGCGGGTTGGATATTGTGCAACCCGATCTGAGCATTGCAGGCGGTTTTACGGAGTGCCGGAAAATCGCTGCCATGGCGAGTGCGAACTACGTTCGGGTGTTGCCCCACATGTGGGGTGGTAGCATCCGCCTCGCTGCGACGTTGCACTGGCAAGCCACGCTCCCGGATGCGCCACAAGCACTCAACCCGATCCCGTCGCTGTTGGAATTTGATATGACCGAGAACCGTCTCCGCACGGCGTTGGCACAGCAACCGATAAAATGCCGTTGACGGATACGTTGATGTTCCACAGGCACCCGGATTGGGCATTGACATCGACCGAGACGTATTAGAACAGTACGCGTGAGGACCCTACCTGTAAAGAAATAAATTCCACTCAATGAGGAATGGGGCTCGGTTAAACCAAAACCGGTTTTCGACAACGCAGAAAAACCGAGCAAAAACTCTATAGTTAAAAACATGAAAAAACGTATTCTAATTGTTTGTCTTTTGCTTTTATCCGTATGCAGCGTACTCTTCCTCTACCACTTCCGCGTTGAGGCGGATTCACGCGCCTCGCAACCCACAGATGAGGCCTCGTTTTCGCATGAATTGTTTGATCAGGTTCTGCAAGAGCATGTCGATGAAAAGGGACGGGTCAATTATACAAAACTGAAGGCGAACCCTAAAAAACTGGAGGCGTATCTGGATCTATTGGCTTTTGCGAAGCCAGAGGAGTTGCCCTATAATGAACGACTGACGTTCTGGATTAACGCCTACAACGCGCTGGTCATTAAAGGGGTCGTCAACCACTACCCAATAACGAGTGTGCGGAAAGTCAAACTCTTCAACGGGTTCTTCTCTCGGCTGAAGTTCCAAGTTGCGAATAAAATGTACACCCTCAATCAGGTTGAACACGACATCATCCGCACAGAGTTTGTGGAGCCACGTGTTCACTTCGTCCTTGTGTGTGCTTCAAGCAGCTGCCCGCCTTTATGGAATCGTGCTTTTTCTGCCGATACCATTGAGGAACGTCTTGAGACGGCAGCCTTTAACTTTATTCAGGATCCTGAGAAGGTGCGGATTGACCGAGCGGAACGCACCGTCTACGTCTCGAAAATCTTCAAATGGTATGACGATGATTTTACGGAAGGCTATGACGGCGTAACGGATTTTCTCACTGACTATCTACCGCCTGAAGACGTGGAATTTTGGAGTCGACAGATGTTAAGCTCGCCATTTGGACTACGACTGGACCCTGAACGATCAAAAACAATAACAGAGTCCATAATGTAATGGATGGCGACTTTTTGATTATAAGGGTTCTGCCCTCTACCACGCTTACAGCGGGTATTCGGGTATTTTGTAGAGTCTTCTTAAAATCGGATCCGAAGCCTGCAACAACGGCGCAGGCGACTCGATAAGAAGGCACGTTAAATTTGAAACCCGCGTTATTCACCCGCAAGGAAAAATTAAAAATGGTAAATACAGCCGTTATTGGCTACGGATATGCTGGACGCGCTTTTCATGCCTATCTCGTCGGTTTGGCAGATGGGCTGAACCTTTATGCCATTGCAACACGGGATGCCGAACGCCGTGAAGCCGCGCGCGCCGCATACCCAAACGTACAGATGTATCAAACGATTGACGAAGTCATCGCAGATGACGCTGTTGACCTCGTTGTGTTAGCCACACCGCACGACACACACGCCGAACTCTCCATCAAGGCGATGGATGCGGGTAAGCACGTCGTCACTGACAAAATCATGGCGATGAATACCCCCGAAGCGGACGCGATGATTGCGGCGAGTGAGCGGAACAACGTCCTGCTCAGCGTCTTTCATAATCGCCGATGGGATTGGGATTACAACACCGTCAGAAAGATTATTGACGACGGATTGCTCGGAACGCCTTACCTCTTTCAGGTCGCGATTATGCGATACGGACCACCTCGTGGCTGGCGCGGTGTCAAAAGCCAGAGCGGTGGCATCCTTTATGATTGGCCCGCACACTTCGTGGATCAGGCACTACAACTCGTAACGGCACCCGTTGAATCTGTGTTCTGTGACGTTCACTACAACTCGAGATGGGACATCGATATCGGCAACTATGCCAACCTCATCATTAAGTTTGAGAACGATGTACGGTATCAGATTGAGATTGGCAACCTCTCCAAAGCAGAGAAACCGCGCTGGTATATCGTCGGCGATTTAGGTGGATTGGTCAAATACGGCTTGGACCCGACAGAGGGACCGATGGTAGCCGGTAATATCGATGCCGCACAGCAAGATCCCGAAAACTATGCTAAGGTCTGGACAGAGGCGGGTGGCGAGAACAGAGAACTCGTCGTCGAAAGCGTCCAAACGACATGGAAATCTTACTACCAAAACATTGCGGATGTGTTGAACAAGGGTGAGGAATTGGTTGTCAAGCCTGAAGAGATGTCGCAAGCTCATGCAGGTCTATGATGCGGCGATGCAGTCTGCAGAGACGGGCGAAACCGTGCAGCTATAGACGCGATTTTCTCGTTAGTTTCAAAACCGTAAGCCTGCAACAACGGCGCAGGCGACTCTTGAGAAAGGTACGTCAAATCCCTGACCCACGACGTTTAACCGCAAGGAAAAATTAAAATGTTCAGATTGTGGACAATCGCGTTCATTTTTTGACGCATTATCCTTATGAATTCCGAGAATTCACGCCGAAACGGGTTTTTTAGAGTTGGCATCGTATTTGCTATTATCACGCTAACAAATAACTGGTCGAAAGGGAGAGACAAATGAAAATGAAAACGCAGTGTGGATTAATACTGGTGTTGCTCCTCATACTTACCGTTGTCCAGAGCGGTATAACGGATCAGCACGCCGCAGAGGCATCAGAATATGATGAATTAAACATCAGCAGGTCGTCGCGAGCATCGACCGAGGCTTGGAATGGCTGAAGGGGCAGCAAGCCGAAGATGGGCTATTCGCCAATCATCCGGGGATAACAGCACTGGCACTCACGGCTTTTTTGCGGCATCCAGAGAACAAATACTCGGAGGCAGAACATCCGTTTATCCAGCAGGGACTTCAGCGGTTGCTTGCGATGCAACAGCCGGACGGTGCGATCTATGATGCCGAGATGCAACCCGCACTTCCGAATTACAATACTGCTATCTCAGTAATGGCACTTTCCTCAACCGGCAATCCAGAATACGCTCCTATTATTGAAAGGGCGCACGGGTTCCTGAAAAGTTTACAGGTCACAGATGAGGAGAGCATCTATTACGGTGGAGCGGTTATGGAAGCGCGATTGAGACCGTGAAACTGATCTGTCCAATCTGAACCTCGCATTCAGCGTTGAAAGAGAGCGCGTTCCGACGACCAAGAGGTCCTGGAACAGGCGATAAGTTTCTGGAACGACCCAGATCGGAGTGACGAGCAACGATCAGTCACGTGGGCAGTGGCACGATGGCGGTTTATCTATCAGCTGACGGTGTTGAGAGCAAAGCACGGCACAGAGTACCGCGGGAGAGCCCGCGATCTATGGGAGCATGACGTATGCACGGTAGTGAGTTTCTTAATCTACGCCATGTGATAAGCCGATAGAACGCCTGCAGGCGCGCAGTCGGGTGAGATCGAACAGCATTCACAACGCAGACAGAAAACTACGCAGGGTGCGCAGGGTCTGTACTCAACAACTATCACACGATGGCGAAGGCGTGCGACTTTACGGTGAACCCATTCTACAGTATGCGAAAGGTATCTAACGACGATTGTTACCGAGAACTCGCAGGAAAAACTGATTGAGGTCCAGAAACCCGATGGTCCTGGGTGAATGAGGAGAATCCGTGGATGGAGGCACTTCCTGTATTGGCAACCAGTTATGCGATCTCTCTCTCTCGACACGGGCTTACCCGAAATAGGTTTTTCTAAGCCTACTGCGCTCAATTTACCCAAATCATACCGCAGGTTCTTACCCACAGCCTAATAGGTTCCCGAATGAGTGAAAATTCCAACCACTTTACCGCCGCAAGGTAAATTAAAAATATGTATCAGTCAATCAAAGTCTCCGCAATCTCGTTGAAACCTATCAATGGGATAAAGCCTCCAACGCTGAGAAGCTGGAGCTTTCTTCGTTGAAGCCGCCAGGAACCCCACTTGATTTTGCGACAGAGGGGTGTCCTGGAAGTATTCGTCATGGATGTCATTGAGGCAAGCCCCCCAGAGGCGATGCTTGAGATCGCGGAACCGCTTGATGGTGCGTATATCCACCGATTCCGTCGGTGGCACCCAACTCAAGACTGTCTCTGTTTCGGTTTCGCGGACGTGTGGTTACTTATTCCTCTGTTTACAACTCCGCTGTGTTTATTGCCACAACGGGACATCTGTGGCACCTATCACAAAACGCAGTTCGCCGAAGGGACACATCCATCTTGGAATTCAATTGCATAGGCGAAACGATTCGTGCGTTTGATACACCCTTTCGGCGCGCTGGCATTTTAATTTTGCAACGACAGATGGAACCCGCTGATAGCGCGCACACTGGTTTTGGACGGCGCACAGTCCTGCGAATCCGTCGTATGTTCAAAGGGCAAGCGCAAAATCGGGCGTGCTTGCCAGAGCGCCGTGAGATGCCGATTGTAGAAGCGAATGTCGGATGAACCTCATCATCAGTAAGGTGAAATTGTCGCCTACAAATGGGCAACGACCAAATCAGTACAGCAGACATTGATATACCA